GGATTTGTATGGTATTTTAAAACAAATTTCTATATATGTGCAAGAGTTTTTTGTTGTTTTTCTTAAAAAAAAAAACAAAAACATTAAAAGAGATTATCTTTCTTACAAACATAAACTAATCATCTTTATTTGCAAAATACAGTCCTTTTCACCCTAAAACCTAAAACATAATTATGATTTTTTATTATTCACCGATACATCTGATTTAACTGTTGTATCTACCAAACATGCATTAGAAACTTTTATCCTTTAATAGAATATGATACTTGAAAATTTTATAAGAGGTTAGAAATTATATAAACAGGTGTCATATCAAAATGTAAGATTATGAATGAGAAACTAGGATTAAATTTTGCATTGAAGATAGAGTTTTTTTAAGAAATAAAGTTTTATATTGTTGTCGAAGCATTCTATGTAAAAAAAATTTTAAATAATTATTGATACTGACTTAGTGAAATTTTATTTCCACAAGCAATTAATTTTTATAATTTATTGTGTTTATTTTTATAATTTATCTTTATTTACAATTCTATGTTACAGTAAAATTTTGATATGATGGTCAAGTTTGAAAAACTATGTCCTGAATTGATCATAAAGGAGAGCAACCTTACTTATTAAAAAAGAAAGAATATAAAAATAAATACAATAAATTATAGAAACTATTTACTTATAGAAATTAAACTTTACAAAGTCAGTATTAATATTTTTTTTAATTATTTTTATGTAAAATGCATCACAGTCAGTGCAGAATTTCATTGTTTTTTCAAACTTCACCTCTATGTTTAGATTTCAAATCCAATATGGACTATGCCATGCAACAATGCAATTGACATAGTAGTTTATCTTAGTACCTTATTTTTTTTTTATGACAATATGGGGTGTATATATATATATTAACATAGGTGTTTGGGCTAATTTATGTGCATCTCGACCAGTCTCACAGGCCCTAAACTTAATGACCATGTAAGCTTATAATGGCCTTGAGGTTTGTGAAACTCAAACTCGAACTGGTGATCTCTAGAGAGTTAATCTAGGGCCTAACCAGTTAAGCTACACCTCGTTAAGGTTAGTCTAGAGTGTTTTAAATATATAGATAGAGGTTTTGATGAGTTATTAGACTACATTACCTTCCTTGATAGGTTACTACGAAAAAAACACTATTTTATCACCATTTAGAAAAATATGTTCAAGGTCTCTATGTTGTCAACAAATAGTACAATGTAGCTTGTTTATTTTAGTTTTTAGAATTTTGTCATCCTGATATTTAATTTTATGAACATAATATATGTTAATTAAAGTAGACAATACTAATAAACTCGGCGTTTTACATATTTCTAGAGAGACCACCTTTCTTCTTTATTTGCTCATTTTCCTTCTTATAATTTGTTTTTCTCATCATATAAAGCTCTTTCATTCTAAGAAAATAAACAACTAAGAATATATTATCTAAAAAAATATTTTCATGCTGCAAACAATCTCAGTTATATCTTAGATATTTTAGCAAAAACAAACTCAAATGCAAATTCTATGAGTTTGCATCTCATCATGTGTGTTTTTAACTTTATTTTGTGTTCGAATGTATTTTATCGTTTTAAAATAATTAACTATTGTAGTTTTTGTTTTGGCATCTTTGAATAGACGATCAATAGTCAAATAGATAAAAATTTCTTCTTGCCATCGAGATTACACAACTACGAAAAGAGTTTCTACATTTTTAGGGTGGATTTGTATGCTAATTTAAAATTCTGCATGTGCAAGAGTTTGTTGTTGATTTTTTAAAAATCAAAACATCGAAGTAGATTATTTTTCCTACAAACACAAACTAATCAGCTCTACCTATAAAATAAAGTCACCTCCACCCCTCGAAAGTACTTATGATTTGTTATTATTCGCTGATACATCTAGTTTATGTGTTGCATCTACCAAACATGCATTAGAAGCTTTTATCCTATACTACAATAAGATACTTGAAAAACTTATAAGAGCTCATTAATTACGCAAGCACATGTCATATCAAAAGGTGACACTATGGATGAAAAAATAGGATTAGATTTTTCATTGTAGTTTTGAAAAAATAATAAAACTCTACACTGATTGTGATGCATTCTACATAAAATAATTTTAAAATAGTTATCGATCTGGCTTTGAAAAGTTTTATTTCTACGAGTAATTAATTTTTATAATTTATTGCATTTATCTTTATATTTTATCTTCATTTAGAATTCTATTTTCCAATAAATTTTTAATTTGATGGCCAAGTCTGAAAAACTATGTCCTAAATTGATCATTAAGGATAGTTACCTTACTCATTAAGAACAATATAGAAAAATAAACATAATAAATTATAGAAATTATTTACTTGGAAAAATCAAACTTTGCAATGTCAATACCGATAGTTTTTTTTAATTTTTTTACGTAAAATACATCTCAAACAGTGCAGAACTTCATTATTTTCTCAAACTCTATCTCCACTGCAAAATCTAATCTCATTTTCTCATCTATAATCACATCTTTTAATATGGCATCTGCTTGCATAATTTCTGACCTCCTATATGTTTTTTAAGTATCAAATTCTAGTATAAGATAAAAGCTTCTAACACATGTTTGGTGGATAAAACATATAAACTAGATGTATCGATGAACAAAAACATATTATTAGCATCTTCCAGGTTATGGTTGAAAGGGGTTATATTATGCAAATAAAGCTAGTTAATCTATGCTTGTAAGATAATCTGTTTTGATTTTTAAAAAAATCAACAACAAACTCTTATACATATATAGAAATTTGTTTTAAAATATCATATAAATCCACCTTGTTAATACGAAGCAAACTCATAGGATTTGTACTTAGACTTGCTTTTGTTAAAATATCTAATATTTAATATTAGTTGTTTAAAGTATGAAAATGTTTTTTCAGGTATATGTTCATGCTTATTTTTTTTATGGAGAGAAAAACGAGGAAAGAAGAAGGGTGGTCTCGCTATAAAAAAAGGGTGGTTTGTTTTGTGTTATGGTGAACAAAGAGCTGTTAGTGGAGAGTGAAAAGCAAGCTATATATATATAAAAAAAAAAACATGTAAAAGCTTGGATTTGAACCGATAAAACAACTTTTTTCAATGCTATAATATTATCTATAATATAAATATTTCATGTTTATAATATAGTTTACTGTGTAATAAGTTTATAATGAAGTAAATGTATATTATGTTTTATTTAAATTATAGTATAATAATAATAATTATTATTATTATATGTAAATTACTTTATTTAGTTTTTAATAATATCATTTAATCAATCTCTTTCACCTGTCAGGAAAGCATCGACTGGCTTCACAATAGTGGTACTGTGGATGGTAGGTGTAGGTGGAGTTGTGCTATCTCCGGTGATCATTCCATTTTTTAATAAAAATAATATTTTAAAAGATGAGTCTCCATAGGAGATGCATGCAGAATGGGATCGCAGAGAATCAAGGGTACGGAAAAGCTTAATGAACTCTGTTGCTTTGAACACATTTAAGGGAGAGCTCTGGTGTAATATATAACCGGGTCTGGCAACTCTATTGCCTATTGTTATTTGATGTGATTACGTTTAATATATATATATATATTACCATATTTATATGTGCATGTAATAGTAGTGAGATTTTGGTTGACCTTTTCTACTCTTTTTTTATTTTTTTTTAAATAAAAAAATTATTTTCAATTTAATTTAATTTTTTAATTGTTAATTTTTTTTCATTTATTTTTTATATTAAATTTTATTCTTCTTATTACTATTTATTTTTTATTTAATTAATCTTTTTCTAATTTTATTTATTTATATTTGATTTCAAATTATTTTTATATCAAATCTAGTTTATATTTTTTTATTTTTTTATTGTTATTTATTTTGTTATGAATTTTATTTTATTATATATTTTTTTTCAATCTTATTTCTTGGTATTTTATTTCTTTAAAATTTACTTATTTGGAGGAGCTGGTTCTACTTTCATTTTTAAAGAGTAATATGGATTAATGTTTATTTTTAGGTCTTTTTAAAATTATTTTTTTATTTTTTAACTTCAACATTTAACTTATTAACTTATTAAAAGTTAGTTTTTATAAGGTTTTTTAACCTTTTTTTTATTAAGTTACAATCTTGTGTCAAAAGTTAGAGAGTTAATAAGTTAATTTAGGTTTATTTTAATTTTTTTAATTGTTTTTTAATATATTTTCACTTTTTAATATTAATTTATAGATAATTAAGTTTTATATTTTTTTTAATTTTTTCTTGTTAGTTTATTTATTGTTATTTTATTTTTTTTAATTTATATTATTTAAATTTATTAAACTCGTTGAAGTTAATAACCTAAATATCTTTCTTTCCTTTATTTTTTTGACCTTTCATAAATTAAAAAAACAAATAAAGAACACTTGTATCACCCTAGCATCCTATGATTTTTTAGGTTAAAAACAATTGACATGAACGTTTTGGTATATTCATGAGGAATGTTTTGGACACTAACATTCAATTTTATGAGCTCACAGTTCTCATTGATGGAAAAGGCCGAATACCTCAAAATCTAAGAAAAGAAAATTCAAGACTCAAAATGACTAGTGAATGGCTGCAAAGCATAGTTTTAAAACCCGGCCCGGCCCGGCGGGTTGACCCGGGACCC